TTTCTAAGCTAAGAAATTTGGAAATCCTCGATCTAAGTTATAATATGTTGAACAATAGTATCTTATCATCTTTGAGTGAGCTTCCATCTCTCAAGTCTCTATATCTAACTGGCAACAAATTTGAAGCACCCAACCATGCTGATGGTAAAATTGTCCATTTTTTACTTATAGAAACTTATTTCCTAATTGTTTATCTCAATATTTATGTGTGGCTACAAAATTAAATAAAATTTTATATATTACAAGTTTTGAGAAGCTTTCTAAGATGAGAAATTTGAAAATCCTCAATTTAAATTTCAATATATTGAAAAATAGTATATTATCATCTTTAAGTGAACTTCCATCTCTCAAGTCTCTATATCTAGTTAATAACGAATTTGAAGCATCCAACCATGCTGATGGTAAAATTGTCCATTTTTTACTTAGAGAAACCTATTTCCTAATTGTTTCATCTTAATATTTATGTGTGGCTCCAAAACTGAATTAGTAATTGTATGTATTTGCAGGTTTTGAGAGACTTTCTAAGTTGAGAAATTTGGAAATCCTCGATCTAAGTTACAATATGTTGAACAATAGTATCTTGTCATATTTGAGTGAGCTTTCATCTCTCAAGTCCCTATATCTAGCTAACAACAAATTCCAAGTGTCTAACCATGACGACGGTATAATTGTTCATTTTTTACTTATAGAAACCTATTTTTTATTGTTTCATCTAAATATGTATGTGTCTCCAAAACTGAATTAGTAATTATATGTATTGCAGGTTTTGAGAGGCTTTCTAAGTTGAGAAATTTGGAAATCCTTGATTTAAGTGACAATATGTTGAATAATAGTAACTTAATATTTTTGAGTGAGCTTTCATCTCTCAAGTCTCTAAATCTTGCCTGGAGCAACTTATTAGCATCAAACTATGGTACAGTTTTGACTTTATGTTATATGCTAGGGCATTAAAGTCAATAAGTTCAATTACCATTTTAATTTTTTTTCAATATAATTAATCCATTTATTACTAATAAAGGTATAAATTCTTCCTTCCCTTGATAATCTGATCTCAATATAAACCAATTTGTTTTGATTTTTTTAATACTTTTTTAATGAAATAAGGAATTAAAGAGAAAGAAAATGGGTGCATATAATTGTTGTGGAAACTAGAAACTGCGAAGTTGAATTAAGAATGTGCAGAACCCATTTATGACAAAAAATGGAATCATGGAATAGTTGCTTACTTGTGTATTTAAAAGTCTAAGGTGAATTACTGGTAATGGCATGGAGACAGTAGCAATACTTGGTGGTTAATCTGAGTACATTTTGATGGAGTTGAAATGGTTAATGTATGTGCTACTTACATTCTTCTTATTGGAAAGGGTTGTGGTGCCAATGGTGTTGGGATCAAGAGAGAACTGCCCTCCTCCAACTCGATCAAACCTTTCTTCAATTCTACATTTTCTCTAAGAAACTGGGTGAGAGGAGAGGAAAAATTCATATTGTTGTCAATGGAAAAAGGTTGAGTGCAACTTTCATCACCATACGAGTCATCTCACTCATCCTTACTTTCACACAGGTTGAAAAGCATATAGTAGCAATTTCACCGACACATATATGAATGCCTCTTTGTTTCTTCCATTTGAGGAATTGAAGTCTCACTATGAATTTTAATTGAATAGCTAGTTGCATATTGAAAATGAAGGTTTTTATCTACCTTTCAACTTAGTTAATATTGTGATTATCAGCAATCAAGCATTTCAATATGTATATGATCAGCATATTCATCTCATTCTTGTTGTCCCATCCGACATTTTATTTATGTGTTGTTTTTTTAATTGAACCAAAATGACATTTCTTGTGATCTACTTGCAGGGTTTCTTAAGCTTTCAAAGAGGTTGAGCAATTTGGAAACCCTTAACTTGGATGGAAATTTCTTCAATAACAGCATTTTGCCATATTTGAGTGAGCTCTTATCTCTCAAATATCTATATCTAGCTGGCAACAACCTCCAAGCATCTAACCATGTTGAAGGTACACATGTCCATCTTTTACTTATAGAAACCTATTTCATTATTGTTTCATCTTGACATATATGTGGTCCAAAATTAAATTAGTAATTGTAAATATTGCAAGTTTCAAGACGTTTTTTAAGTTGAGAAAACTAGAAATCCTCGATCTACTTTATGATATATTGACCAATAATAGTATCTTATGATCTTTGAGTGAGTTTCCATCTCTCAAGTTTTTATCTCTAGCTGAAGACAAATTCCAAGCATCTAGCCATGCTGATGGTATAGATGTCTCACTTTCTCTTATGAAAACCAATTTCTTTGTTGTTTCATCTTGATATATATGTGGCTCCAAAACTAAATAAATAACTATATATATGGCAACTTTTAAGAGCCTTTCTATGTCGAGAAAACTTGCAAATCTTAGATGTAAATCACAATAAATCAACAATAGTATCTTATCATCTTTCTGTGATAACTAACACAACTTATTAGCTAAGAACTATGTCTTACAGTTTTAATTTTATGCTATATGCTTAGAAAAATTAGACGCTTGTGTACAACATGCTTTGATTGTTAATTTGCAACAGCTGATTTAGAAAAGCTGTCAAGACTTGACCACTTGGAGGTGCTCGGCCTAACTGGAGGAATAAACTTCAGCTACAACATCCTATCATCTTTGGCAAGTCTTCCATCCTTAAAAACTCTATTCCTAGGATACAGTAAAATAAAAATGAACCCGAGTACAAGAGGTAAGCTTGCTTTATCCCCATTTTATTATTACAATTATAATTTTTCCTTTCAAAAATGTGCCATCTTGTTAAATTTTATTGGCCTAAAAATTTTAACAATAAATTTTCATCTTTACTGTAATTTCTTTTTCATCTTCTTAGAATATTTTTCTTAAAAATATATGTCATTGCTCTAAATTTATTAATTATGATGGAAGATTACATAAATATATTAATTTGTTTTTCTTATTAGGTTTTCATAACCTGTCCAAAGTGGAAGAGTTGCAACTGGTGGATTCTATCCTCCCAACCAACTTCTTTCATGGCATTGGATCATTAACTTCTCTCAAGGTTTTATCACTGTATTTTTGCAGACTCAATGGCTCCTTAACAAGCCCAGGTTAGTTACAAATTTAAATAAATAATTAAGAACCATTGACCAAAATTTACCATTTTTACTCTATATAAATTTTTTTGAAGCTATATGACTAACTTTGTAAGTGTTGTATATGGTCACAGGCCTGTGTCAATTGTCACATCTTCAAGAGTTGGATATTACATACAATGATTTAAGGGGAGCCTTGCCTTCATGTTTGGCAAATTTTACTTCTCTCCAGATTTTAAGCCTTGATTCAAACAAATTTTCTGGAGATATAGCTCTATCACCCCTTAACAAATTGACATCCCTTCATTACTTGTCTCTTTCAAACAATCACTTCCAAATTCCAATCTCCCTTCGACCATTCTTCAACCATTCAAAACTCAAGATTATCAAAGTAGAAAACAATGAATTTTATGCAGATACCACCATTGAATCTTTGGAACCAACTTTCCAACTAGATACCTTGGTTTTGTCTGGTTGTGGAGATTGTAGAGCAATTCCAAACTTCCTCTACTCTCAACACAACTTGAAGTATTTAGACCTCTCGCACCTTAACCTAACTGGAGAGTTTCCCATTTGGTTGTTGGAAAACAACACAATGTTGAACACACTTTTGTTGGTTAACAATTCCCTCTCTGGACCTATTAAGTTGCTAGCTCATTCTCATAAGAGTTTGGAAAATCTAGATATCTCCAAAAATTTCTTCGATGGCCATATTCCAATGGAGATTGGAGCATCTTTGCCAAGTTTAAACGAATTACATATTTCAAGAAATTCTCTTAATGGTAGCATTCCTCCTTCAGTTGGTGATATGAGGTTGTTGCGTTATTTGGACTTATCTCACAATAACTTATCTGGTGGAATACCTAAGAAGTTAACCATGGGTTGCTCATCATTGAATGTCCTTACTCTATCAAACAACAGCTTGCAAGGTCAAATTTTCTCTGAAAATTTTAGCTTATTCCAGTTGGACAAATTACAGTTAAATGACAATCACTTTTCTGGAAGTATCCCAAAAAGTTTATCTAGCAGCATCTATCTGTTTTCAATAAATTTCAGCAATAACAATCTCTCTGGAAGGGTCCCAAGTTGGATGGGCAATATGTCATCCTTGGGAGAAATTATCATGCCTAATAATGGTCTTGAAGGTCCAATTCCTATCGACTTTTGTCAGCTTCAAAATCTTGAAATTCTAGACCTTTCAAATAACAATATTTCAGGGAGTCTACCAACTTGTTTTAGCCTAGGGCAGATAAATCATGTTTATTTATCCAAAAACAAGCTAGAAGGATTGCTGCCAACACAGTTTTGTAATGGCTCTTCTCTAATAACTTTAGATCTTAGTGACAACCAGCTAAGTGGTAACATCCCGGATTGCATCAATATGCTCAGTGAGTTGAGTTTTCTTATCATGAAGAACAATAATCTTGAAGGTGAGATCCCAATTCAGCTGTGTGAGTTACAGAAATTGAGCTTGATTGATCTATCTCATAACCATCTTTCGGGCCCTATACCCTTGTGCCTAAATATTACTACTTTTTTGGAGGCATATTATGGGGATCATCATTTTCCTCTTACTCCTAGTGCCGCTTCTCAAGCATTTGAAAATGGCACAATTCCTGTTGATGAACCAGTGCATTTCACAACAAAGAATATGGCATATCCTTATAAGGGGAAAATTCTGGTCTACATATCTGGAATAGATCTCTCTTGCAACAAATTAACGGGTAAAATTCCTTTTGAAATAGGATGTCTTAGCAAGATTCAAGTACTAAACCTATCTCATAATATCTTGATTGGTGGAATTCCATCTACATTTTCTAAACTTGTGCAAATCGAGAGCCTGGATCTTTCTTATAACAATTTGAGTGGGGAAATTCCCCCACAGCTTGTTGAGTTATATTTCTTGTCTACTTTTAGTGTGGCATACAACAACTTATCAGGTAAGACACCGACAAGGGTCAAACAATTTGCAACATTTGATGAAAGTTGTTACCGAGGTAATCCTTTGCTTTGTGGGGAACCAATAAAGCGTTGCACAACGCCAAGTCCACCACCATTGATGCAAGAAGGTCCAATCCAAGGTAGAGAAGAAGATGGTCTCATCGATATAGAGGTATTTTGTGTGAGTTTTATTGTGTCATACATAATGGTGTTGGTAACTATTGCTGCGATTCTCTACATAAATCCTTATTGGAGGCGGGCATGGTTCTATTACATTGAGATGTGCTTCAACTCTTGCTACTATTTTGTAGTAGATCATCTACCCAAGCAATTTCATTGATGAATGTAACCATACTATACTTTCCATTGCTAATTATGTTGTTTCCCCATGTTTCCTATTCAAAATTGCAATGAAAAATCTCTTTAAAGCCTAGCCGATTGTATCAGACTATCAGTTCAAACAAAAAAAAAAAAAAAAAAGTATAATTCGCCCCCAAAACCAAAATTGCTTCCAATATCTAAACTCGAAGCAAGACGCATTCTCCGGTGCTAATCTCAAAGCAAAAGACAAAGGAATCCACTAAAAATAAATCCTTAATGGATTAATCAATTATCGAAAGAAAGGAAAGAAATTAGAACGAAAGACATGCTTAAATAAACTCATCGACCAACATGCGTACCCGAGATTTGGAATCACTATGATCATCGGCGCCACCGTGGTTGCTGTCGTGAGTCTGAGAAGAACCGTCAACATCGAAAAGCTCGCTGTTGCCAGGCAGCCCACCACCATGCCATTGTCTTTGGAGTTCTTCAGTTTTATTCCTAATTTGCGGGCAATTCTCCATTTTAGTTTTTTAGTTAGAGGACCTTATCCTTAAGTTAATATTCAATTTTTTGAAAATAGAAAATTAATTATTTTCATATTTTTTATTTTTAATTAATAATCTAATTTATTTATTTGGTTGTTTTGTGCATGTGGAAAATTGGGAATGAAACACTTGAATTAAGTAAACGAAAATCATATCAAAATAGCTAAGGAGGAAGGCTTTTCCTCTAACAAATGCTACAGTGACTCTCGTCCCCCTCACAATAGTTTTTTATTCCAATTTTACCCTTAAATGTTTTTCCCTCCCTTTGACCTGTTAGGAATGGCTTTTTGGTCATTTTGCTATCAAATAATTTGCCCATCACAGAGATTGTTTTCTCTATTTTGCCCTCGAGCTTTGTTTCTCCCTTTCTCACATGGCTTTTGGGTCTTTTTGTTTTTCTGTGTTTCTGATGATTATTCTCTTATTTGTGTTTGATTCAGTCTTCGAATTTCAGAAATAAATAATAAGAATATTAATTTTTTTATTTACTAATATTAATTTTATTAATTGTTAAATAAAAATATTAATTAATATTTTTATATAAAAATTAATAAAATAAGTACTTTAAAATAAAAAAATATAAAATCAACGGACTCGTTTATAATTTTTTTTCTTTTTCGAAAATCTGATATTCAGTCGTCGATGATGGAAGAGGAGAGTTTGAATTGGATTTTGAGATTTGAGCACCTGAACGGAAAGATAAGAATTTTGTGGTCGTGGAAATCTTGCACTAACTTTGCACCAGAAGAATAAGGGCAGTGACAGAGTTCGTAGGCCCAACAAAGGGAGAGAGAGAGGAACAAGGAAAGCTAGACGAGGTCTATGCACCTAAGCAAAGTAACATTAAAGTCGCGGCAAGATACTTCGTCTTCAATGGTAAAAATGTGGAGAGGGACGAAGATCTACTGTTGGTTTGAGAGAGGTTGAGAAAGAGAAGGAGAGAATGTAAGCGTGCTGGCTAAGACTCAAAGGGAAGATATCGTTTTTGGTTATGGGTCTTCTTTGATGGTGAGCATGAGTCGAGTCTAATTGAGATTTTTCAAAAAAGTGAAAACCCAGAAGCATGTGAGAGAGTGTTGTTTGGAAGGAGGGAAGGATTCGGTGATATTAGTACCTTATTAACCTCCACTTAACCCATAGCAGGCAAGACATGAACATAGTTCTATTACAATGAAATGCGCTTCATTTCAAACTGTTATTTTATAATAAATCATTTATCCAAACAATTTCACTAAAGAATATAGCGATATTATAGGTGCCAATTTTAAATATGTTCTTTCTTATTGTTTCCTGTTTGGAATTGCAATGAAAAGTCATACACGGATGCTCTTCCAAGTAAACATTAGCAAGGGCCCTAACTTGACAAAAGTCATGTCTCAAGGGATTAATGATTGGAATAATAACTATTAGCTGTTGTAATTGTGAATTAAAAAATAAAAATAAGAAAAATTGAAAAACGAATACATATTTCTTAAGATAAAATAAAAATTAAAAATTAAAAAACTCTGCTCTTGTGAAGATTTTATTTCCCTTGAACGAAGTATACGGGGTCGTTTTCCATCACGAAAGGAGATCATCCATCCGGCAAACAGAACTCATCCATTTCTCATGGCAGTCTCCATCTCCGCTTGTGCAACTCCTCACTGGACCAACTAAAGTATTCCTCCAAGTTCCTTCTGCTAAAATTTAAACAATCAATCCTACTTCATTTTCTACAACATTTCATTAATCTCAATCTTATTTTGATTGAAATTTTCAGGTAAACAATGCAAATTCGTTGGTCAATATGTGCTAACCCATCTGTCCATGCATCCTTCCATGTTTCTTAGCTGAATTCTTATTTGGGTTTTGAATTTTTGACAAAAATAATCAGCTTTTCTTTATTTGGGTAGAGAGCATTGCCAATTCGGATAATAACGGTGGGGAAGAGGAGGTCCCCAGGTGTCCAGTTGCTGGTAGATGGGTTTATCGATAAGCTCAGAAACTACTGTCCTGTTGATGATGTTTTAATTCGGTCTAACCCCAAAAATGCATGGTGCTTCCATTCCCCTTTTCTGTAATTTTATGCCCCTAATCTGTTTTTATAGTTTCCAACGTAATTTAGACGATTTTATGATGGTTTTGTTAATGTAGAGATGTGAGGGCCCGGGTTGATGATGAAGATATGGCTGTCATGAACCATATCAGGTCTGATGACTGGTTACTCGTCCGGAAAACCCCCCATAGTTTTACTTTTCCTTTGTTTTTTATTAGTATCATTATTGAATTGGTTTATGGAAGTTTGGAGATACACTTCTAGTCCGGAATTATAGGTTGTGATGTTGGATGTAGGGCTGGGCATTTTTAAACCGAACTGATGGTTTACTTGAAAATCAAATCGAAAAAATGAATTTGGTTTGGTTTTAATGGTTTTTGGTTTTATTTTTTCGATTTTGATATTAACCGAATATATTTTGGTTCGATTTCGATTGAATTTCTCAAAAATCAAAAACCGAAAATAAACCAAAAATAAGCCATCTAAAAACTAAAATGAAGATAAATATGACAAAATATGATAAAATATAATAAAATATGTGATAAAATATAATATATTATAAGAAAAATAATTGATTATTATTTATTTATTAAAAACCAAAACCGAATCGATTTTAAACCAATTTATTGATGACCAAATCGATCAGTTTTTGATAATTTTGGTTCGATTTTGGTTCTTAAAATTAAAAAAAAAAATGATTATTTTAAAACCAATTTTAATTTTAACCAAAAACCGATTTTGCCCACCCCTAGTTGGATGAGCATGGGTTGGATATAGGGTCTGAGCGGTTTGCTGAATTAGTAGGAGGAGCAGTGCTAGGGGCACTCGCCTCCTGCACTCTCCAGCCAACACATGCTTTTTTATTGGGCCATGTAAGCTTGCTTGCGCTATGAAATGCTTACCTCTCCCAAACCAACATAACGTGGCCCAATGAAAATGGAAGTGTTGGTTGAGAGTGCAAATGGCGAGTGTTCCTAAAATTGCTCTTAGTAGGAAATGCCGGGAGTAACCTAGGGAACTACAACTCACTAAAAGGTTGCTGAGATTGAAGTATTAATTTATATTTGGAATTGGATTTGTCCTTGGTATCAATATTTCTCTGTTCAGTGGCAAGAATTATATATAGCAATGAATTTGCTGCTCTGTTTCAAATGGCTGCTGCCTTGTCGGGCCCTAAAAAAATTCCGAGTTTCCATATTGTAATTGTGGATGCATGTTTTAAATCTTATCTTAATATATCAGAGATAAAACTCATGGCTAAATATGAACAATTCAATTTCCAATATTTCATCTATGATTTGGTGGAGAAAATAAGATCACCCGATTGAAATCAATTTGGATTTGTTTTTTAAGTAGGCTTTAATTAACCAAGAGAATTCGGTGCTAGTGATCACCAAATTGAAATTAATTTGAATTAGTTTCGCTTAAAATTTTTTTATTTTTCTTTATTCTTTCCCATCCTCCACATTTCTCTTTGTCAAAGAAAAAAAAATCAGAAAAAATATTCCACATTTCCCTTTCTTAAAAAAAAAAAAAGAAGAGTGGATCCAGAGAGGATATTCTATGGGGCATTGTGTTTCCCAGCTCTGATATTATTAGATTGAATGATGCCTTTGTTTGTATGGACTTCTAATTGGATCCGATGATTCCATGTATTATGTAGAAACTTTGGGTCCATTTTGTTGAATTGGGCCATCAGTTCATGAGGACAAGAAACAGCCTGCTTTACGATTCTACTCTAATTTCCATTTATCATTTCGTTTCCCTCTGAATCCCTCAACCATTTTTAGTCTGGTTCCAATACCACTCTTCTTTCTATCACATAAAAACTCAATCCATGTGCTATTAAAATTGTAAAATATTATCTTTAAATTTAATTTTATTTAATTTAATTGATTAATAAATTTTACAAGTAACTATGAACATTAACTAATAATTTATAAAATACTTGATATATATTAATTAATAAATTAAAATCAGTTAATATATTAACACTTTTAGATACTGCTTACAAACAGAAACTCTTTCAGAAAAAAGTAACATAAGCAACCAAAAAACTGGCTGCATAGCAACAAAAGCAAAACAAAAGCTAGTAAACAGATTCTGATAAAAGCAACAAACCATAATGGTAAAGGTGCTGGAGACTTCAAAAAAAATATTAGATACAAAATGGGCTTGTTGCTTGGTGCAGAATTTAATAGTTACTAGAAACCTAAATTCTGAAATCATAAATTCCATGAATTCGACGAAGTTGGGAGAAGGGCAATCAATATAAATATCTTGAAAAGAGTAACTCACTTGAATTGAATGTATGAATGCAATCACTAGTGAAAGATTAGAACTGGTATTGACATGTATTAATCTCATTTATTTCTCTATGGATAGACTTAGACTATAAACAAATGCAGCAACAGACTTGGAACTAACTGTAATCTCTCGGCTAAATAGAGAAGAAAAATATGATAAAGAATTTCAGTCCAAACCAAAGCTCCATCTAATACTAAACTGTCAATCATGACAGTGATTAATGATCAGCATCCACTGTAATTAGGCATGTGGTAATTTTTTTATCAGCCAAGGCATATGGTTATATGATAGATGAATCCCAGTCTTCCTAAATGCAAGCCGAAAATAACAAGATTCAAGAAAAGATTCACAAATCAGAAATAAAAATGACTTACAGATTCAGTATGACCAGTCAAAGATTGAACTAAGCTACCATCAGTAGCATTCGATACACATTCTGCAATCTGCATTGTGGTAATATATTATTTGGCCAAATTTATGCACCTCGAAATCTAATTAAAAAGCACAATGGCACCAGCATAATGGCAAATATGTTAAGAAGCCAACATCTAGGATTAAGCACCCAAACACTGCTACCTCTTACTGCAAATAAGTAAAAAAAAAAAAAAAATGCTACTAATTACAGTGGTGAGCATTAGAAAACCATTTCTTTTGATCAGATTGCCACTTTGCCATTGCAGAAAAGCCAAGAAACAAAATATACACAAAGATAAAGGTCTTAGCAGAGACATAAAAACCAACACATGAAATGCATGCAAAGGCAAGAGTTGAGCAACATCTGCCATAAGGTATAGGTCTTCGTTAATTAAAGCAAATGGAATCATAAATTATTGTTTCAGTGGATTTTTCTGTTCAATTCTTTTTTTTTTTAATCTTTTTATTTTTTGATGGTAGGTTGGTGAGTGGGACGTAGGGGAATTTATTGTTTCCACATCTTATGTTTTTAAAGAGAAAACTAAACAAGTCACTCTAAAAAAAGGAAAACAAGTACCCCTTATAGCAGAAAGGACAAATCGATTATCTAGACTCCAGACTACCATATTGACACCGCGAGGAATTGGAAGAACTCTTTGACGCTGGCCCCTTGTGAGGGTTGAGGTGGTATTGGTGGAGGTGCAACTTTGAGATGATAAGCGCGTGTCCACCGGCCTACTTTCCCCTGAGCCAAGTAGTAGAAACATAAATTTATAGCCAAGACAAAGAGGGTGGTGGGGGTTTGGAATAATAAGCTTCCGAGAAAGGAAAATACTTACACTTAACATAAGCAAGCTAAGAAAACAAGAAAGGTAAAAGGTTAAGATTAACAAAAATTCACATGAGATTTACGTGATCTAGAATAACAGAAAAACTCTAAATTCAATTTCTCCTTACCCTCTAAGATCACAAGAAACAACAAATTACACTAAAAAGGATCTTAAAACCCCAATTCGTCACCCAATCAATACATACACCATAAGCTCCTCAAAAAAGAGCATAAACTCGAAATTTGAAACTAAAATCGGAATTAGATTGAACAAACAAATTAAAATATAGCCTCAACTTATCAATACCTTGAAGAAACAACAGGTTTTGGAGGTTCGGTGTGCATTGAGAGTTTGCGGAATCGAAGTGAAAATGAGGATGGCAAAGGGTTGCGCAATAATAAAAGAAAAATAACGAAAAAATCGAGGAATTAAGCCGGAATTATCGAGGGCGTCGCCGACCGGAGAAGAGGAATTTAGATTGTCAGGGGAGCTCTGCGAATTCTGTATGGGGGTTTAGCGGCAGGGAGGACGGGGATAGAGGAGTGGAGAAGAGGAAGAAAATCGTCGAGGGTTTCAACGCAGCGTTTTATATCTTTACGCTCGCTCTTTCTCGCCGGGGAAAAAAAGGGCAAAGAGAGCCGGCGAGGAGGTCCCTGCCGAAAACGGCGTCGTGCAGTAGAGCTAGGGATTTATGAATATGAGCAATGCTAGGG